GCCTGGGGACACCTGTGTTCCGTCACAGCATGAAGGCTGTGAGGGGAGCCCCAGATGGCCATCAGCGCCCTCCTCACCCTCAGATCTGAGGCACAGCAGTCCCCTGGGACCCTGAGGACACAGCTCAGGGGACCTGAAGAACAGCTTGGCCCAGGGGCAAGGAGAAAGGGGCTCCAGACCCCTGCCCATCGTTCCTGACAAGCTGGCCCATGCCTAACACCTCTGGATGGCCAGAACGATGTTTTGGGGGCATCGACCAGCCCCCCAGCTCCTATGAGAATGAGGCCTCAGGGACTGAGGGACTGGCCGTTTGTTTTTTTTTTTTTCTCTCTCTGCTTCCTTCAGACTAACGCTTTATTGAGGTGGACTGGTGGTATGGAGTCTGAAAACCCAGGATTCTTGCTCATGCATAATGAAGTGCTACAAAGCAGCTTCGGTGACAAAGGGCAGAACAAAACCCAGCTGTAGAGATGGGAGCGAGGCCTTCACTCCTTTATGTACCCAATGCAGGATTCCCTCCTGCAATATGACAGTGGGGGAAAGCGGTGTCCTTCGAAGTTTGCAGACGGTGTTCACATCCATTTCAATGCCTCGTCTAGTCCTGGCTGATTCTTCTGGTTCCGTGTGGCATTGACAGAGGTCAAGCAGTAGCATTTAGTTGGCTGATGAGCTGGTCTGGAGGGTCTGGGTCAGCTTCTCTTCTATGTTTGGCTCTTTGGCAGGGATGGCTGGAAGGCTGGGCTGGGCTGAGGGACAGGATGTGCCCTCCCAGGAGAGGGGTCAGGTCCACTCCCCCTGTTGGGGATAGGGTGGGGTGTGGCGATTTCCAAGAAGATCCCAGGCTGCAGACAGTCAACGCTGAGGATTGTTGTCTTAAAAAAAAAGAGACCAAGCCCCTGCTGTCTGGGCAGTCGTGATCTCATCGTTTCAGTCAGCCGGACTCCTCCCCTGCCCGCCTTGTGTCCGCTCTCCTGACCGAGCCTCCCCATCAGCTAGTCCCAAACCAGCTTTTGCATAGGAGGCACAAGTCCCGCTGCCTGGGTCTAATCCTGATTCTGTGGCTCGCTTGCTGTGTGACCTTGGGCAAGTCACTGAACCTCTCTGTGCCCTGCTTTCTAAATGTGTGAAATGAGCATGTCAGTAATAGCAGCTTCTTTGGAGGATCCGGTAAGGGTTTGTGCTGTCACGTCGTAGAGGCTCAGTCAAGGTGACCTTTTGTCTGTGAGCCTAGTTGTCTCAGCAACCCATCTGCCCTTCCTGGGCCTCGGTTATATAGTGCTGAGGACAGAACATGGACTTTGGGGTCAGATCCAACTGTTTTCTAGTCCTGGGTCCATCCAGTGGCTTAGGGGCCTTGGGAAAGCCACTCAAACTTTCCTAGCTCAGTTTCCTGCATCCACGAAATGGGTATAACCAGCACCCCTTGTGGCGTTGTTCCCAGAATTTAAAGAAACGCCCCAAGAGAGGGCAGAGCTGGGTGAGCAGCTCAACCCACGCCGACTGCAGTGGGGCCCCTCCCCTTCTCCAGACCTCACCCCCACCCTTGCTGGGCCATTGCCCTGCCTCGCCCGACTCACTCCCCCTGTGCCCTTGTTACCATATGCTCACTCAGCCCTCACCCCGTGTTGGTTTTCTGTGCCGTGTCGCAAATGGTCCCAAACCCAGTGGCTTAAAGCAACACCCATTTAGTGTCTCATTGTCTCTGTGGGTCAAGGGGTAGCACATTCTGGCCAGTCCTCATGCAGAGTGTCACAGGGGGCCGGCCGGCGGCACCCCTGACTGGAGGTTCAGCAAGGGAGTTGTCTTCAGGTCCTTTAGGGATGTTGGCAGAATTCACTTCCTTGTGGGTGTAGGACTGAGGTTCCCATTTCCTTGCTGACTGTCAGCTGGGGGCCGCTCAGCTCTGAGACATTGCCCTGGATCCTTGCCCCATGGCCCCCTTCATGGGCCCCTCACACTTCCATGCTCTGTACACTTCAAGCCTCTGACTTCAGGAACGTACTAGTCTCTTTTAAGGGCTCACCTGATTAGGTCAGGCCCACCCACACTCAAGGGGAAAGGAATTATGTGTGGTGTGCATACCGAATTATATGTGGTGTGCAGGAATCTTGGGGAACATCCTAGCACCCTGCCTGCCTCCTCCTTTGGCCCTCGGTAGACCCAGGAGGAAGGCTCCTCCTTCTCACCCTCCAGTAGATAGGAAACTGGGGTCCCAGGTCACACAGCAAATGCCTAGAGAAGAAACAACTGGGGGCCGGCCTCAGATGTGTACAGCCTTCTTCTGTAGATGAGGGGACTGATGTATTCTCTATAGCCTTCTGGGGTCTAGCAGAGTCCAAAGGCGAGAGTTACAGAAGCAGAATTTAACTCAAAGGAAGAACATTCTAGCAACTGAAGGGATTAAGTTGATGGGTAGTGAGCTCCCCGTCATTAGAGGTGTATGAGCAGAGGCTGGCTAGCCCATCAGGAAGCCTGTGAAGGGGCTGCCCAGGTCTGCTGCTGCCAGTCACCGTGTGGCTTCTTCCAGCTCAGTCTCTGAAACATACCTTCCAGCCATATCGTCCTGCTGGAAAATGTGGAGCCCAGCAGGTTATCAGCACTAGCCCAGAGGCAGCTCCTGACTCCGTTGGCTCTGTGACTGGGTCTGGGATGGACATGAGAACCACCAGGGCCAATAAGATGCGCTGAGACTTTTGCCAGGTTGCTGGAGAAAGCCACCCTAGAGGGGGGCGCCTGGTTCTGCTGTGCCCAAGGTCACACTGGGAGCACAGTCCACACAGGCCAGAGGACGTTGGGAGTCCCTGGATCAGGCCACACCTGATGCCAGTTCATTGTGCGCCAGTCAGGAAGGTAAGCTCTCTGTTGCTGAGGCCGGTTTGAGCTGGGCTTTCTGTCACTTGCCCTGAAGGACCTGGCCCTGAGGCACCGTCTTGCATCTGAATGCCTACAGCAGCCCCTCGGGGTCCCCCGTCTTCTGTGCACCCCCTTCCAGCCAGCCTGAGCCTTCGTGTAGCCAGCACAAGCTGTCTCAGAACAGCTGACCACGTCCGCTGGAGAGAAGTCTGCCCTCCTTTGCCTGGCTGGGCCAGTTTGCACCCCTGTACCGTGTCCTTGGGCTCTCTGACTTCCGCTCTGCCCCGCAAACCCTTCTCTGGCTGTCAGAGCACCTCTTGAACGCCACTCACGCGGGAAGGTGCTCTGTTCCCCTGGGCCCTGGAGCGACCCCCACCAGGCGCCCAGGCTCCCTTCTGTCCCAGCACCGTCCGGGCGTCGTGGTGTGGCCACGGGCATGTGCTCTGGAGCCAGCCTGGGTCCAAATCTTGGCTCTGCCTCGGGCAAGCAGTGTGACCTTGACCACGGTACCCCACCTCTCTGTGCCCTGGCTGCTGCACCTGCCAAAGGGGATCCTAATGGCGCCAATGTCACAGGGTCCCCGAGGGCAGTACTGAGTGCCAGCCGCTGCTGCCCTTGCCCCCTCCCCCATCGAGGCCAGGGGGCCCCGCGTGGCACAGGAGGAGGAAGGAAGCCGGGCAGGGGTGAGGAGGGAAGTCTCCCCCTCGGAGGGACTCACAGCCTCAAAGTGTGGTGGATGCCAAGGGGAGGGGCCTGCAGACAGATACGGCCCGTGTCACTGCCCCCCACACCCCACCCTCTGAGTCACCCACTGATGTGGGCTGATGAGTCTTATCACAGGCCAAGGTGTGGCCAGGGATGGTCTTTGAGGTCTCCAAGTGACATCAGTCATGACCTCATCCGATGGGAAGCCCAGGGCCTGGACAAGGGTCAGGTGACAACGTAGAGGCTGCCCAGAGTTTGGACAGCTCGGCCTGAGGACCAGGGCCCAGTGCCGCCGTCCGGCTCCCTGCAGAGGTGGAGGTGTGGGATGGGGGTGCCCAGGGAGAGGCAGACCCCGGTCCAGCCCAGGTCCGGCCTGGGTGCACTCAATTCCATTCTGATCGGTGTAGGTAACACTGTCCGACGCCCAGCATGCGCCAGCCCTGGGGAAAGGAGACCCTGTCCCCTCTCGGCAAGGGGCTGCCATCTGGAGCTGGATCAGACATGGCCTAGATGGTGGTCAGATTATACCCCGGAGCAAGGGCACCGTTCACAGCCAGAGCCCCCACCCACAGGCACAGGAGCCGGAGTCCCACAGAAAGTATCCCCTTTGCCCCAGAATGTCAGGGTGTCCCCCAGCAGGCGCTCCTCATGAGCGCACGGATGAGGCAGGGTGCGGGACAGGATGCCCTCTGCTGTGGCCATGCCGGGTCCCTTCCCTCACCCACGCTGACATAGGCTACGTTTTGTTAGAGGCTGCCACAGCAGTGTCTGGGGCCCTCGTTACACGGTTCTGAGGGCCTTCAGTCCCCACAGATCCTCTCCCCTCTTCTAGAACCTTCTGGCCCTGCTGTGCTGTGTGCCCCACGTCACGTGGCCTGACCGCCGCCCATTCACCGAACAAAGGGTCACAGAGCTCTTCCCCTGTGATTGTGTTTTCCGGGGAGGCCCAGCGTGAGGCAGGCGTGTTCACCAGTGAGCGGGTGAGGCAGCTCTCACCTACTTCAGCATCTCAGCCCCTGCTCCCGAATCAGCTTCCAGGACTTTCTGCCAAGCCCGGGCACTACAGCCGAAGCCGTCGGCCCCCCACCCACGACCCCACGGGGAAATCCAGTTCACACCTTCTGACGAATGGAACTTCTTGTGGAAGCCCCAGGCCATCTTGTCCCTGGTCCCACCAAGGAGTATTTTATGGGGAGTCCCACAGGGCTCACTGTCAGGACACTGGCCATATCTTTCTGAGGCTCTCTGGGGAACCCTTCTCCCCTCCCGATGGTGAGAAAAGAGAGGCTGCTTGTTTTCATCACATGGACATCATGTTTCCCTCTTTGCCCTGGTGACTAGGAAGCTCAGAGCCACGTTTATGGGCACGGGCTGAAAAACATCATCTCATGGTAAGAATTCGTATATCAACTTCACCTCTGGCTTTCCATTACTTTTCTTCCTTTTTTTTTTTTTTTTTTTTGCTTTGCTCTGTTTCTCCTTTTTATCTGTTCTTGTTTGTAAAGAGCCTTAAACATGGGATGTGGGGGTAAGGGGGAGTAAATATACATGACTGAATGATAAATTTATGCAGACAAAATAACCTCCCAGCACTCGCGGGAGATGTTGGGGCGGGAGGGCGGCCAGAGTGTAGCAGAGAGGGCCCGGCGGGGTGCCCCGGGGCGCCAGCCCAGAAGCCCGGACTGAGGACAAGGTGCCTCTGGTCCCGCGTAGGTCCTGATGGCAGCAGAGCCTCCGCCCCTCGCCAAAGCGCCCCCCTTCAAGGAACGCGCACCCACAGGTGGGCAGGGCTCCGGGAGAGACTCAGATCCCCGGAAGGGGTTCCAAGGCCAGAGGGGAAGCTCGTGGGGGCGACCCGGTCTGCAGAGCGGGAGGCAGGAAGGAGCAGGAGCGGCAGGGGGCGCTGTTTCCACCGTCTCCGCGGCAGCTGCCTCTGACATCTGGAAATGGACGCCCCTGTGAGCCCGCAGAGCACTCTGCCACCCCTCCCCACCCAGCCCCTGCTCACTGCAGCCTCCCGGAGCCCAGCCATGTAAGGGGAGAACAGAGACGACCCCAGGGACCACACCCCCGCTTCTAAGCGCGGGAGGGAAGCTTGTATGCGTCCTTTCTCTCTGGGCCTCAGTTTCCCCATCCGTACAAGGAATGGATATCCCCTTAGCCAGGCGGTTGTAGAGGTCATAGGTGGCCATTGGGGGCAGTGTGGTCTTGAGGGAAGAGCTTGGACCTGACTGGCAGAAAGGCCCAGAGCTGAGTCCTAGCCTGCCTGCCACACGCTGTGACCTTCCCCTTCTGCAGCCTCCCCATAAGGATCCTAATACCTGCCTCCTCGGCGCCGTGAATATTGAGTCAAATGATGTATGCAGGACCCCCCGGGGCCCAGAAGTAATAGTCGCTGTCACTCGTAAGTGACAGAGGCTCGTATGGCACTCGTCTGCAGCAGCCGCCAGCCCTGGAGCCTCTATGGAGACTGTTTCCCCATCTGTAGACAAAGGGGTGAGAAGAAATGAGCTCCTGGCCCTGCCTGTGGTCTCTGTTCTTCTGGGCACCGTAGCGTCCAGGCACGCAGAAGCACTGCCCCGAGGGGTGACAGCACATTTCCAGGCCACCCTAGCCACTGCGGGCCCCCCCAAGTATCCCTTCTGCTCAGCACTGCCTGGAAGTCTTGGCTGGTGACTCCGCCACTGGCCAGATGTTATTTAACATGCTCACCAAGAAGCCCGTGTATATCATGGACTGATTTGTCGTTCTATGTATTTAATGCCCGTATCCCAGTAGCCCTTCTAACACTGTGCAGTCTGTTTTAAGCATTTAAAAAAAGCATCATGCTGCGAGCCAGCCTTCCCAGACTTCCCAGGGTGAGGATCCCCAGGGCCAGGGCTTGCACACGTGTGTTTTCTCCTGCCCAATGAGTCGCCACTCTGATTTGCTTCTGCTTCCGGAGCCTCTGACCAGGCGGTGACCAGCTCCTGGTGTGTCCTCTGCCAGACCCCAGTCCCATTGCTGCATAGCCCACCCCTTCCCTGGGGTCCTCCCACCAATCCTGGGAAGGAGCAAAGTGCTCTTCATTGCCCTTCTGGGCAGGGGGAAACTGAGGCACAGAGCCGTAGCCAACTCCCAGGGTCACAGAGCAGGGAGAGCTGGGATTGGAAGCCCAGACAGAACTGTCAAACAGGGCAGACAGACTGTCACATCCTCCAAGCTGTAAAGAGTGAGAAGTCAGGCACAAGGCGGGCGCTTCCTGAAGGTCTGTCCCCAGTGGAGGTGGGGAGCCAGGAGGGGTGACATCTGCCCTTCCAGCGCTGGAGCTGGGGGAGGGGGCGTGCTGGGGAGGAGGAGCAGGGAGATCTGACTTGTCCATGTCCCTGAGGACAGGAGGAGCTCAGGTCCTTGGAACCCGGGGCACGGACAGGGCTGGCACAGGGGCTTTGGGAGGGCCCGAGGCCTGTGCCTAGCGGACCCCTCCGCCCCGCGGGCCCCTCCGCCCCTCGGGCCCCGCCAGCTGACCCATATCCCGCCTTTCCCAGACCAGGCAGGCCGGGGGCCTGGTGGG